TGGCGGGCCGGACCGTGCGGGCCGAGACCCGGAGCCGGGCCAAGGATGACATCAAGAAGGTGATGGCGACCATCGAGAAGGTCCGGAGATGGTGAGCGCTGCCCCGGGGCCAGGGACGGGGCTGGCAGGGCCCCTCCTCCCTCGAATGCGTCCGCCCACCCTTCGCCAACTGTGGTGTCCAGGTGTTGGGTGTGCCCTCCTGCTGCACCTTGGATCGCAGGGCTCTGCCCTACGTCTGGCGACACCCTGGGGTCTACAAAGCGGGTTGCCCTCCCAGAACACAGCCCCGCCCCCTAAGCTTTGACACTCCTCCCTCAAGTGCGCCCTGTGATCTTCATTACTCTGGTCCCTCCGCGGGCCCACAGAGGTGCTTCCCACGTAAACCCTAGGGCCCTGCAGGGCCATGGCCCCAACGCATACCCCTCTGTACCCCACCTATGCCCTGGAATCCGCAAGACTCCCATGCCCCATCCACAAGTCTGCCACTCCCCTCTAGCACACCCTCACCTCTGCAGGTGTGCCCTGATGTGCTCAGTTCCCTGGGGCAGTGGGGCTCTCTCTTCAGGCCTCTCTGACTCAGTACCCCCTCTTCCCACAGGGAGAAACGCTGGGTGACTGTGGGCGACACTTCCCTTCGCATCTTCAAGTGGGTGCCAGTGGTGGACCCCCAGGAGGAGGTGAGCAAGCTCCCCACACTAGGCCCTGGACTGTGCAACCTCAGGCAAACCCCTCCCCACCTTGGCCTCCACCTGTACTTCCAGCCCCCACTCTGAGCCTGAAAATATGGCAGCCCAGACAGATGTTAACAATTATTAGCCATTCCGCTCCTTCTCTTTTTTTCCAGCTGCAGACCCCCCAAGTTCACAACCAACTCAGTGTGCATGATTTTTGTCATCTCCTGTAGTAGGGCCTTTCGCTTCTCTGTGCCTCAGTTTCCTTATTTGTACAGTGTGGACTTTGCTAGTGCTAACTGGAGCCCTAACTCTGACCCTTATTCCTCTACCTCCCAGGAGCGACGGAGGGCAGGTGGTGGGACAGAGAGAGCCCGAGGCCGGGAGCGGCGGGGCAGGGGTGCCAGCCCCCGAGGGGGTGGCCCTCTCATCCTGCTTGATCTCAATGGTATGTAGGGATCCTGAGATTTGGGGGCTGTGGGGAATGAAGGAGAGCACTGGGGTCTCAGACCCAACCCTCTTTGCTTTTACTCCTGCAGATGAGAACAGTAACCAGAGTTTCCATTCAGAAGGCTCCCTACAAAAGGGCACAGAGCCTAGCCCTGGGGGCACCCCCCAGCCCAGCCGCCCTGTGTCACCTGCCGGACCGCCAGAAGGGGCCCCAGAAGACGCTCAGCCCCCACAGCTGGGCCAGGAGAGAGGTAGGACCCCGTGACTCCCAGGAGCCCTCTCCTCTGAGTCTTTTCCTATTCAAGCTGAAGCCCAGGGCTGACCCCACACCTGCTCCCCATCCTGTGTCACCTCAGGGAGGCCTTCCCTGACTCCTGCAGTGTCACCGCCCTACCTCTAGCTGCTGGCTCCTTCCTCTGGCTTCTTCATGGTCTGAGACTTCCATGCATTTTACATGTGACTGCTTAAACACCTCTCCCTTCCCTCCCACCTCATGTCAGCCTTCTGAATGTTGGGCCCATGTTGAACTTGTTCGCTCTCATTTCCTCAGAAACAATAGAATATGAGATGCAGAGCAGATGCTCAGTAAACATTGGTTGAGGAATAAGTAGTCGTGATAGTCGCAACAGTGATGAATGATAAGCGATAATGACAGTTAACACTGGTTGAGCTCCTACCGGGTGCCAGGAGCCCTCCTAAACAATCACACGCTTTCTCCATTGCACCCTCACCAGAACCTGCTGAGGGTTATGATCCCATGCGGCCCCCATTTTAGATGAGAAACTGAGGCCCAGAGAAGGTACCAGGCTCACACAACCAGTGAGCCAGCACGTTGGGCCAGGCTCCCCTCCTTGCTTCCATATGGTCGGTAAACACTGCCTGCCTTTTCCCTCCCAGCCGGCAAGGCTCCCACACCTGGCTCTGGTCTCCTCCAGTCACCTCCACACTGCTGCCAGGGCACCTTTTTTAAAGTACAAGTTTGATGGGGTCATTTTCCTCCGTCAGTGTTCGCGGTGGGCCCCATGACCTTTGACTGCTCATCCTGCCACTCTGGGCCCTTGCTGCTAGGTGAGCTGACCCCCGCTGACCTCATCGCTCCCTTCCAGAAGCACCACCCCTGGGGCCTGTCTGTCCATGCGATGCTGCACACTGTATCTTTACTAACGTGAGACCCGCGAGCGCCTACTGTGCCCCAGACGCAGCCAAGGGCTCTCTCTGTGTTACTTCGTCCTCATTAGAGTCACGGGAGGCTGCTCGTTATCCTCATTTTACAGATGGGGAAACTCAGGCTCAGAGAAATGAAGTCTCTTGCCCCATGTCAGAATTTCAACCCAGGAATTGAAGCCAAGAATCTTTGTGGGCCAAACCTTTGCTGCCTTCGCCTTACATGTGCCCCACCTCCTCCTTGTCTACCCCATCAAGTCCTCCTGACCCAGCAAGATCCCTCCTGAATCCTTCCTGGGCCATAACCAGGTTCTCGGCTCCCTCCTCAGTGCTCTCCCAGCCTTCAGGCTATGGGATTTGTGTTTTCTCCTGGTTGGTGCTGGGCCACAGAGCAGCTGCTCAGAGACTGTATACTTGACCTTCCAGATCCCGGAAGCATCACAGCAGGTGGCACTGATGAACCCCCAATGCTGACCAAGGAGGAGCCTGTGCCAGAGTTGCTGGAGGCTGAGGTGAGAGCGGCCGGCCGGAAGGCAGGACTCCTGGGTCTGTGAGGGAGTGGGGGCTCTGGGCTGCACTCCTAAGGTTCAAATGGAAATGTAGCCCCAGGCCTTGGCTCGAGCTTGGAGGCTGGGTTCTTGGGACTGAACAGGCAGGGGTGTTGTCCAGATAAAGGCCTAATTGGGGCTGATTCAAGACCATTAAAAGCCTAAGAAGATCACAGTGCTGCTCCAGGTATTTTTATAGACTGTAAAAAAGAGCATAGTAAGAAGGTTCCCCTCCCCCAGACTGCTGACTTTTCCCACAAGAACTGCATTTTCCAGAAGTATGAAATACAGCTGTGTTGCTGGTGGCCCCTTACTCTGTACCCGGTACCTGGCCCTGGGCTAGACTCCTGGGTCCGGGCGGGGAGTGGCCTGGAGGCTTTGGAGAAGGCAGAGGCCAGGAGGCTGCACTCCTGGCTCTAGGAGGAGCTCATGGCTGTCCACCTTCCTCTCCAGGCCCCCGAAGCTTACCCCGTCTTTGAGCCAGTGCCACCTGTCCCTGAGGCAGCGCAGGGTGACACAGCGGACTCGGAGGGCGCCCCCCCACTCAAGCGCATCTGTCCAAATGCCCCAGACCCCTGAGAAGCCGACCCGCCTGTCCTATCGCCCCAGGGACCCCTTTCGCTTTTTACAAATAAAGGCCCTTTTGTAATTTTGTGTCATGTCATTTCCCCATCAGGGCTGGGAGGGTCTTTGGAGACAGTTTTGTCTCGTGCTCCATTTCTCAGATGGGGTCACTGAGGCTCACAGAGGAATTTCCTGTAGTCACACCACGTGTCAGACACAGAATGGGGACTTGAGCCAGGACCCTGCCTCTCCCTCCACGCTGCCCTGGCCTCTTGCCTTTATCTCCTTCCCCCCCTGACCTTCAGCCCTCATCCTCTGGGAATCCCAGGACCCTTCTTTTTCTGCTCAGTCCTCACCTGGGCCCAGCAGTTATCACAGCTCTGGGCAGCTGGGCCTGTGAGTCCCATTCATGCACAGAAGCACGGAGGCTCCAGGGATGCCAGGCCTAGGCTGGGCCAACCCATCGCCTGCCCTCAGGACCCTACAGCAGCTCACCTCCCTGCCTTGCTCAGCCACTGCCCGGGCTTGAACCCCACCCACGCCGTTGGCTGGGACTTACCTGTTCCCAGCTCAGTCAGCCCCCCCAGGAAGCCTCCCCGACACGGCGGTCAGTTCCCCTCCTTTGGGCTCCACAACCCCGCTCTCCTTTTGGCCTTGGCATTTATAAGGCTGTTTGGGATGGTTGGCGTGTGTGTGTCTGTCTTACCCACTTGGGCAAAACCTGCCCCCCAGCCTTGCCAGGCACCACACTAGGCATGGAGCAGTCACAGCAGCAGCTGGAATGAATGAGTAAATGGGTTGGCTGAGGCTATCCAGGACTTCGGGATGGCAGGGGAGCCGGACTCTGAGTTACGTGTCTGGAGCCGTGGACCTGCTGTCAGAAATCCTGGTCAAGTCCTCTGGTACTAACCGTATGAATCTGCACACGCCATTTCCCCTCTGAGCCTTAGTTGGATCATCTGAGCAATGGGAACACTAACTAGTCCTCATCAGCTTCAGTGGTTTGTGGGAAACTTCTGTGTCCACAAGAGAGTCAGAATCAGGTGTATTAACCCTATTTTTTAACAAAGGGAGAGACTGAGGTTCGTAGAGGACCAAAATGGAACCTAAAGAATTGTTTTAAAGTGTTAACAGTGTTTCCCAATCGCAGCTGCAGTAGTGACAGCTGAAGCCGTGACAGCTGAAGCCTCGCCTGGGAAGCCAGGTGTGCAGTGACCACGTGGTCTTCCTGTCGCAGCTGTAACAAGTGGCCACGGCGTAGTGGCTCACAGCACAAACTTACCATCTTAGCATTCTGGAGGTCAGAAGGTCAAAATTGTTCTCATCAGGGCGGTTCAGGGCTGGTCCTTCCAGAAGCCGCCAGGAACTCTGTCTCCCTGCCTTACCCAGTTTCTGCGGCCCTTGGCTGGTGGAACCTCTCTCCGGATCCATTCCGGCAGAGTAACATCTTTTGAACCTTGCTTCCATCACCACTTCTCTCCTTGTGACTAGATTGGGCCCACTTGGATGACCCAGGCACCTCTTTCCATCTTAACAGTTTAATTTAACCACACCTGCAAAATCCTGTCTGTAAACTAGATTTCACAGATCTGGGGATTGGGGCAAGGGCCTCTGGGAGGGCTGTTACTTGGCCTCACCACACGGTGGTAAACTCAGCCATTTTGTGGGTGTGAGTGTGGGGTCATCTCCTATTCCTCTCCAGCACCCTGTGAGGTGATGAGAGTGTTACACTCAGAATTCAGGCTGTGGGTTTGAATCTCATCATCCTCACTCACCAGTGTGACCTTGAGCGAGTGATTTAACCTCTCTGTGCCTGTTTTCTCGCCTCACAGTAACACCAACCTAGTGAGGCTATCGTGAAAATCAGCTAAGGCAGGAAGTGCGTGCTTGGCGCGGGGCTAGTGTTCAGTAAGTAGCAGCTGCTTTTCCTATCTGTCCATTTGCTGGTGAGGACAGGGTGCGGGGAGAGAAGCCAGACACTTGCCTGTTAGTGAGACTGGGGTGGGGAGTCTATTCCAGCAGCCTTGAAAGCCGGAAGGTTGCCACGTTTCTTTCCCTCTCCTGGCCCACACCCCAGGGATCTGCCCCCAGCCTCATCCCAGATCACGCCCCCCCACCCCCGCTTCTGTGACCTGCTCTAGAGCCCATCTCCTCCACCCAGTCACCACCCTGCCGCGACCTCCCGTGCTCCGAACCCACCTGCTTTTTGAAAATTCTTCCACCGCTGACTCGGCCCTGGCTCATAGTGGCCCCCCACTACTGGGCCCTGGCTCATTGTGGCCCCCCAATCTCTTCCCTTCTGCACTCCTCCCGCCCTGGCCTAGCCCTCCTCCCGGTGAACTCCCTCTAGCCCCACCTCCTCCTCCAGTGCTGGCTCAGTCTGCCTCCAAGTTCTGGCAGCTCACTCCAGACTTGAAGAGCCAGAAGCAGCAAGACATCTCCACTGGGGTGCCTCCCAAACCCTCAGCTCCATCCTCTATTCCTACCACCCCTGAGTCCAGAATTTACCCCTCACTCCCAAGAGTTGGCCAGGATGCGAGTGCCCTGTAGTCTTGTTAATTTCCTATCCTCAATGGCCCTTCCTTGAGAAGCCCCATGCTCACAGGGCTTCCCTATTTCTCCCCGCGGTTTCCCTATTCCCCCCCTCATTTCCCCCCCCCCACACACACACACATTCTCCTGAAGTCCGCTGGCTCAGAAACCCAGGTCTGCCCACAGGGCTGCCCAGGTGCAGCCAGCAGGTCCCACACTCTGGCACTCCAACCCTTCCAGCCCCCCACCGGCTGCTCAAAGGGCCCGCACTCCCCAGATTCTTGCTTTGCTCTACCAGAGCCCGGCTCTAGCTCTTGCAGCCTTCATTCTGGCAGCCTCCTCTTGTTTGTCAAACGTCTGCTCCCTGGTGGTGTCTCCTGTCCTTTCCTCAAGCTCCCTGCGCCTCCTCGCTCCCTGCGCCGCCTCTGCCATTTCCATGCACTGAGGTAACCTGTGCTCCTTTCTTCGTAGCTGTGGGCATTTGTCATATTTATTGTGTGCTGTTTGCTGAGCACTGCTCTAGGCCTGTACAGCAGCAACAAAACAGAAAAAATCCCAGCCCTTGTAGCGCTTACCTTTAGTCAATTTTTCATATGCAGGCCCTCAGAAATAATGGAGGGGAGGGGCCGGGAGGGAGCTAGGGAAAGCACTCTGCAGTTTTAAGTAGGGAGGTCAGGGGAGGCCTCATCACCCAGGGGACACTTGAAGAAAAGCTTCTAAGTGAGGGGGAGAGGCTTGCAGGTCTTTGGGGAAGGGCTTTCGGGGCACAGGAAAGAGCCAGTGCCGAGCTCCCTGTGGCCTGAACAGAGGGGGGCAGCCAGGAAGGGGAAGTGAGGTCAGTAGGCCAAATGAAGGCCTGACCAGCCCCTCTGGGAATGGAAGAGGATGTGTTAATAATTATGCCCAGGTAACAGTGAGACTTGGGGTGACCAGAATGTGCTCATCCTGCTGTGAAGACCATATCAGGCTTGGCTTTTCCCCTGGGGGAGATGAAGAGCTATTGAAGGTGGCTGAGCAGAGGAGGGACAGGATCAGACTACTTCCCTTGCCCCCCCCCACATTGTATTATAGAGTTTGAAACATACGAAAAAGTTGGGAAAGTTATGCATGTGACCACATCTGTAACACTTGACTGGTTTGCTTGCTCACATGTTCATACCCACCCATCTATGCATCTCCCTGAGTTTTTGGATATATTTCAAAATAAGATAGCAATATGCTTCTCTCTAAACACTTCAGCATGCACATCATTAACTAGAGTCCAGGACTTTTTTTGCAGGTTTTTCCCCCCGGGCAAAACACACAGGTGCTGTGTGTGCCTAGTGCGACGCAGCGGTGCTAGCCCGTGACTCAGTCAGTTTCAACAAAACATGGCCTGACCTGCCACGTGTCTCTTAGTCGAGGGCTTACCAAAGACATCTCTGTCCTCCAGAAGTCTCCTGCTGCCCTGTCCCCATCCCAGTCCCCAGCAGTAAGCACGGCTCCCGCCTGGGTGTTGTGGGGTTGGCCTGTGGTGAGCGTCCTGACCACAGTGTGCCCTCCTCCGACCGCTTGTCCTTGTTGCTGCCTTTGGCCAGGATCGCTCTGCTGGGAGCACAGAGGGGTCTGCGTCCTCTCCCTCCTTCTAGCTCCCTGCACAAGCCTGTCAAGCCGGGGTTCAGAGCCCGTGATGAACACCCCCCAGAGCGCTGGACAGCCATTGATCCAAGGGCTGTAGAATGCAGTCTGTGGTATCAGTTTCCCCAAAAGAGGGGAGATAGGACTACATGAGGGGCAGGATCTAGGCTGACCTAGCATCCCAGTTTGCCCAGAACTTCCGGCACTTCAAGTTCCCTTTCTAGGAAACCCCTCAGTCTGAGCAACCTGGGACAGATCCCACCACTGCCCCTGGGGCTCCTGGCCTTTTTTCACCCAACTACACTCCTGCCTAAAGATTATTTTTCTTAACCTGTGAACTGTTCCTTTCCTCCCCTGCTCTTAAAACTTCCCATGGCTCTCACGGCCAGCCGGCAACTCACAGGAGCCACTCAGCCTACCACGTGGTTCTTAAACTCTTGTACATTGGAACCAGCTGGGGAGCTCTAATGCTTGGCTGCTACCTGCAGACATTTTAAATGGTAGAGGACTCAACATGGGCACTCTGAGATTTAAAAGCTCCACAGGTAAAACTAATGTGCTACAAAGTCTGGGAACCACTGACTTGTGGCTGTGATCTGCTTGTCTAACCTGGTGTTGAATATGTCAACATTTAAAATCAAGTGACTGGATAGAAAAATCTGGAGCCCAGTCTACCTTCAACAAGTAGAAGGTCTGAGATACTGTCCACCTCCAAGCATGGTGCTTGTGGGTGGATGTGGGGACCTGGCAGCCTCTGGCGATGGAGCATGTGTCTTCCTCTTCTCATTCACCTTCACGTGCCTGCTGGCTGGGCTAACAGCTCAGCATTTCAACTCTAGGCCTTCAGGTGCTGGCCCCTGCTGGCATTCTCAGCCTCTTACTGCTTCACTGTATTCCTTTCACTTTCTGCCTTCCAGCCACGTGGAGGTCAGGTGT